GTTCTGATTACCTTGTATGAAGCTCTGTAAGAAGAATGGGAATTGTAGTCAGGTGGGAGAAACAAGAAACCAACAATGTTGGTCAGTCATGGATCCCAAGGATGACACTTCTGAGGGGAGGCAAGCATGCAGAGACTGAGCTCTAAAACCAGAAATGACGTAATCAATCACACAGAAAAGCGGCCACTGCCTTTCTGGGAACTACAGGAAGATCTAACTTCTATACAGCCCATGAAATTTGACAGAGTGATAATGCTGCGTTACATAGCATTCCAGCATCTTTGTGGCCTTCGGATACCTAGGGCTCCCAGGTTCCCTTCCTCCTCCATTCCCATCAGAAGGGATTCTGAGATTATGCTCCAGCCTTGCTTTGTAAGAGGTTGGAGAAGAAGAAGAAAGGAAAATAGTGACATGTATTTCTGGAGTTCCTCTCCCAAAGGAGGGTGCCTTATAAGCCTGAAACATGTCTGCCAGGTGAAAAGCCTTCTAGCCTTCTCTATCTTCATTCGTTAGGGGGAAATGAACATGAAAGGATCTCAAAAACATCAGAGTGATAGGAGAATAAAAAAATATAATTACTTTCATAGAACAATGGTTGTGGGTTAGCTCTAGGAATTGAGTAAGAAATACATTGTGTCACTATAAGAAACTGTAGGTTAATGCAAAACATCAGGGTAAAAAAGTGCACCATGGGTGAGTGGGTTAATAACAGTGGGAAAGTAAGACTCTACAAACATGTAGGTAGAGTGTTGAGTGTGTATACAAATCTACATGTACACCTGAGTGTTATGCATATACAAATTCTGAGTATATGTCAATGTGGACTGAGTATGAGCATGACAGGGTACATGCATGCTAAAGAGAATAAAGTTCAAGAGGGAGTGTCAAATGTATTTGCTTAAAAAGAGTAAGATTGTGTGTATGAGAGAGAGGTGTTGGTGAGGGTTATGAAGAGTATGAGCAGGATCTAGTATGAGGCTAATGTGAAAGTACATGAGTGTTTCTATGCGAATAATGGATATTCTCAGTATGTATGACTGTGTAAGTGTGTGAAAGTCTGTGTTTGAAACAATGCTTTCCCACAAGATGAAAGTTAGTGTACCTATAGAATGTTTACAGGAGAATTCATAATTCTTCTAAAAACAGGAGTAGCTTTGTGCTTTTTTATAAACATATGGTTTCTTTGTTGCTTATTTGCAGCAACTCTGCCAATGAAAGGCTGATATCCACAGACAGTCAATTTCCTCCACATCCCTCTGCCCCTTCCCCTCCCTGACCAAACACACATCCTAATTTAAACTAGTTCTGGGGAATGCTCTCATTAATCAATGACACATCCGAATTAAGCAAAAGTTTCAAGGAAGTATTTAAGTAATTCCAAGAGTTATTGATAACTCAAATTCCCGTGGTCCTTTTATAACTATCTATTAATTTTAGTTAACATGGTTCCATTCAATGATGATTCTGAAACACATTAATATTGTGAATAATATAGTTTAAACATTTTCTTTGTAACTAAGTGATATTTGTGAAGCATTTATCAATGTTTTCCTTCTTCCATAAAACAGAAGGAAATATTAGCGCAGCCCGTGGCCTGATGATTTTAAAATATGAAGAAAAGAAGTGTGCCTGCATTTTCCCCAAACCAGTGATTTCATGAATATATCAGTTTCCAACTGTGTAGACACAATCTGCTGTGTCTCTTACTCCCTGGTTTCTCGTCATCCAGTAAGTGCAACACTCAGAAGTCTCCAGGTCAGAAAGTCTGACCCTATTTGGTTGTGGTTTAGCCTCTAGGAATTGAGTAAGAAATATGTTACTTCCTTCTGTGATGGGATTGTTCAATGTCACTCACCCTGCCTCTTTCCTCCTGACTGGTATCCCTGGTCTAGAGAGCTCTCACTCCTGGCTAGCAGGGCCCCTCTGTGTGATGTATGCTGTGGCTCTCGGGGGCAACACAGTTATCTTGCAGGCTGTGAGAGTGGAGCCTCGCCTCCATGAGCCCATGTACTACTTCCTGTCCATGCTGTCATTCAGTGATGTGGCCATATCCATGGCCACACTGCCCACTGTGCTCAGAATCTTCTGCCTTGATGCCCGAAATATTGCTTTTGATACTTGCCTAATCCAGATGTTTCTCATTCATTCCTTCTCCATGATAGAGTCAGGTATTCTGCTGGCCATGAGCTTTGACCGCTATGTGGCCATTTGTGATCCCTTGCGCTATGCCACTGTGCTGACCAATCAAGTCATTGCTGGAATGGGTTTAGCTGTAACTGCCAGGAGCTTCATCACCCTCCTTCCTCTTCCCCTCCTCATCCACAGGCTGCCTATCTGCAGATCCAATGTTCTTTCCCACTCCTACTGCCTGCACCCAGACGTGATGAAGCTGGCCTGTGCTGACATCACTATCAACAGCATCTATGGACTCTTTGTTCTTGTATCCACCTTTGGCATGGACCTGTTTTTTATCTTCCTGTCCTATGTGCTCATTCTCTGCTCAGTCATGGCCATTACTTCCCGTCAGGAACGCCTTAAGGCTCTCAACACATGTGTGTCTCATATCTTGGCTGTCCTTGCATTTTATGTGCCGTTGATTGGGGTTTCCACAGTGCACCGCTTTGGGAAGCATGTCCCACACTACACACATATCCTCATGTCCAATGTTTATCTCTTTGTACCTCCTGTGCTCAACCCTCTCATTTACAGCGCCAAGACAAAGGAGATCCATCGAGCCATTGTCCGTATGTTTCGTCGCATCAAAATGTGACTTTCACATTGGCTTTAAAATCTAATGTTTATTGTAGCCATAGGCTGTCATCCATGGTGTCGTCATTGTCATCATCATCATCATATCATCATCTAGAATAAGATTGAGATGTGCACTGGAGGAAAAGTAAAAGATCAGGAAATTGATCTGCAAAACTTATAACAAAAGAAATGTGTAGTACATTCAGCAACCATGAATTACATTACTAGAATCATAAATATGGAGGCAATTGAGTAATTAGACAGAATTTTATAGAGTAAGATTAATCTAGGCCAGGAATCCTTTTCTGTAATAATAAATATTACTAATATAATAATAATAAGAAGAAGAAGACGCTGAGTCCTTAAAAGTGCCACGTTCTGTTCTCCATAACAATCTTAGAAGGTATAGAGAATTAAGTAAATTGATCTGAGTAACACATATAATATGTAATCCAGATAAGATTCAATACTAGTCACTCTCCAGTATTTCTACACAACCACTACAAATACTGCCTCTCTGGGTAATAGGCATCACAATTAACATAACCATTGCTACCTATTCTACTATCATTTTCATTCCCAAACATACATGAGTTGTTTTAACTTTACAAAGTGAAATGTGATGTACTGTCCGAACCTGTCATAAGATATATGACCAAATATGACTCAGGAAAACTGATAGATATTGACATCTAGAAGAAACTCCAGATTCCTCTCTGCTTCCTTTATCTGCCCACCACTCAATTATCCCACAATGAAAGCAATTTTCAATAGCTGAACCATAAAATTTTTTGAGATTGTACTAGAAGCACGATTTCTCTTTCCTGCTTGGGATTTTATTTTTCTTCCACACAAAGCCATGATAAGAGAAGTCAGAAATTATGTCCTTCTGGGATTTTCAGCTCCCAAAAGGCCTGGGATAGGCAAAACAGAGCATTTATGATTTAGACACTAGAAAATAATTCTTTCAGACCTTCTCTTAGATTGATTTACCTTGCATACTCTTTCTCTGATACCAGAGAGGTAGGCTACAATAAGAAATTCCTTGTCCTCATTCTAGGGCTCTCAGACTAAGTTTGAACTTACTTCTAGACTAAAATAAAAAAGATACCCTATGAAGTCTAACCTACTCACCAGGGAAACTGGGCCAGAACTCACAGCAGCAGAGCATCCAGTTATCTAGTGTTTTTCTCTCTGTACAAAGCTCTATTGAGGAAATATCAAGAAATGTCAGGTGCCAGAGAAGGAAACTATTTTTGAATGGAGAAAATGTAAGCATTTGGAAGCCATGCATCTAAAAGTGTTCGTAAGTACAATAAGAGACTGAAGTTTTTCTTTGAACTCAACATTTTTTCTTTTTGAAATGGTAAAATAATTGGATTTTGGCCTAGAAAACATAAATTCTTATACTTTTTTTATTCTAGGCCCCTTAGGCCTGCCTCTAACTCAAGAAAATAAAATACTGAATATGGTTCAGCTGAGGTTGTAAGGAAACTATTTTGAAGTTTGCGGAAAAAAAATCTCTGAGTAATAAATGTCATGCTTTTGTGTTGCCTTTTCATGGGTGCATAACTCATTCTCCAGGGCCCCTGTGGTGTTGGTCAATGAAGAGAGAGAGAGGAGAAACTAGAACAACAGTTATGATAGAATAGCATTCTTGATCTCTGTGCCTTTGT